TCTCTGAATGGTTTGGGGGTTTTATGCTCAACCATATTTTCACACAGCTTGTTCTTCTCTGAGCCATTTCTTGGTTATTTTTCAAAACTAACACGTTCAGTCTTCTACACTGAAGGGCACTGGGGGTGAACTAAAACTTAATGTGGAGATGCGGGTCTGAGCGAGTGCTGTGCCCCGGTCAGTGAGAGATGCTCACAAATCAGACAAGTGTACAAACCAGACTCTCCATCTCGGAAGGACGTTTGGTGTTCTGATGCCAGAGGAGGTTGACCTAACTGTTTTAAGCATTGGCTATGCATGCAGCAGTGTTTGGAGCCAAGTGAGACCTAAAAAATGCAAAATAAGAACTTTTTCCAGTCAGCTTCTTGTAAAGGAGAAGCAGGAATAGCAACTACAGTAGGAGCTGATTTTTTCTGAACTTCTTTGCGTTCATCTGAACAATTACAACACAGAGCGAGGGTTAAAGGCCAGTGCTGTCCCCAGAATGCACTAACTTCAGCTTCCTGTCTCTCTTTTCTCCCTTCCCCTCCCATCCTCAGGAAAGTGGGAATGTCCGTGGCATCAGTGTGACGTCTGTAGCAATCCTGCAGTTGCGTTCTGTGAGTTTTGCCCTCACTCATTCTGTAAAGATCACGAGAAGGGAGCCCTGGTGGCATCAGCGCTGGATGGCCATCTCTGCTGCTCCGCACACGACCCCAAATCTCCTGTGGCACCCGAGTACTGGAGCAAGATAAAGTGCAAATTGGAACTACAGAATCCTGTAGAAGAAGCGAAGGAGTGAATTTGGTTAAAAACAAAGAATGGAGGGGAGAAGAGGGGCAAACAGGTGATGAACTTGAAGAGACTGCTACGTCACATTCAGTCTTTGTCATCGGAGCCGTTGTGTGTGAGCTGGGAACGGGACCACTAATCTTAGCAAGCAGAAGCAGGCAGTGGTGTTTGTTTTTTATTGTTTGATCTTTCTTTTACCCTTGAATGTGCTACAGCAGCTCTTACTGTTGGAAACCAGAACGTCTTGGCCTTCAAAGAAAAATGTCAACCTTTTGACAGTGAAAAGAATATTCTGTTTAAAAGGTGTTCTTTTGAGTGTAGAAAGCAAAGCATAGCAACATATTTATTTATTTAATTTTTAAAGGGTATTGAAGATCTGGTTTTGATCAGTCAGTGTGTCTTTAAAAACAAAATAACAAAGCCAACGTAACTTTTAGGTCTAGTTTATGAGAAGAATAAAGCCTCCCCACTCTGTGTAACGTTGAGATGCCATAAAGACAGATGTGGGTTTCAGACCAGGTGACCCTGAAATGCCTCCATCCCGTACTTTATTTTTAAAGGCATTTTGAGAAGGTAGGTTATGTATCATGTTAACTTATGAATATTATTGTAAAGCTTTTCCTGTGAGAAATCAGGTGTACGGCTTCTTGGGAGTGCTTGTAACAGGAGATCTGGCGTTGTTGGAGAGCAGAAACCATGGTTCCTTGCTCCAGGGCTGTAATCTGTGTTTGCAGACAGGTGGAGACTGGGAAGGAGCTTCACTGCACAGTGGTCGTTTCCTTATCCCGCCTCACTTGGATAAACCTGCCTGGTTAGGAGTGCCCTGGTCCTCCCAGCCTCGCCCACTGCTGCAGCACACTGGGACTGAAGTGCTGATCCTGCCACTGGGAGCTCTGCCACCGACTTCTGCAGGTGGAGGATTGTTCTGTGCATTTGTCACCTGCCAGGTGGCCGTTAACGCTGGGGGATTCGTTCCTGCTGCCCTCTCAGGCTACCGTTAGCCTTGGAGAAGATCGGGGCACTTAAGGAACCCAACCCATGTGCGTGTTTGTTTTGATTGAATGTTTAGATTTTTTTTTTAAGGGTTGTTTTTTTTTTTTTTGCTGAGAGACATCTTCTAACTTCAGTCTTCATTGTTAATGAAGCTAAGAAAAATCTCAGCACTTTTTCAATGAACAGGGTATTTTCTGTCTGGGCAACGGGCCGTATTCACAGCAGCCAACATCAGCCTCATGAGACAGCTCTCTCTCGGATTTCCTGTTAATCAGAAGAGAGACAGGCTCCTTCAGTGAGGCTTTTGAAGTGGCTTAGGTGGGCTCCAGCTCCAGATTTTGTTTTGAAAACCTATCCTCCTCCATTTCTCATGCGAGGAGCCTTGGAGGACTAGTTTGTCTTTGAACCTCCTCCCCGGCCCACAGTCGCACAAAGCGCTGGGCGTCTCCCCCTGCCCTGGGGTAGTTACGAGTGTACTTTTGACTTGTGTACTGATACTAGCTAACAGTCGTGCTAGCTTTTTGCTAATGGGTATCAAAAATAATCCTGAATGAAAAGAAATAACACCAAATGTTGGTAGCATCAGGCTAAATTAAGCCTTTGAGTTAAGAATCTTGTCTCTGGAAAACTGCTTACAGAAACCTACAGGAACATGGTGACTTCTCAGTTCAAGGAAAGAGTAGGCTGAAGAAATACAGGTGGGATTTTAGAACGTGTCTTGCCTCTGGCTGGTATCCTTCTCATCCTCAAATTTATGTACGGGAGGGAGATTTTTTTCGTGTGCAATTGTAAAATTACAAAATACACTACAATCCCTTCAAGCAGCTCCTGTGCCATTTAACTGATCTGGAGGTTCATCTTCTGAAGGTCTGCAGCAGGTGCCTTTCCGACAGACTTGGGGTGTCTGGGGTGGCATAACTGTGCAGAGCTCTCGTGGGTCAGCTGATGGCACAGGGGGCTGGTGGGATCTATGAAGCACTTCATCTTGTGGTCCGTACTACAGTGAATGTCTGAAACACTAATCTTGCTTGAAAGCAGTGCTATATTTTGGTATTTTTTACAAAAAAAAATTTACAAAAAGGATTTTATTTTTCTTAACATTTTATGTGATAAATGTCTCTTTTTAAGCTCTTACTGGGGGTGTTTAACCTTTTCAGAAATTCCAAACAGCTCTTGCTACAGTGTCTGTAAGGCCTGATGTGTTTACTTTATATTATTTATTAGGCTTGGTAACGTTCAAATGATTTTTCTCTTGGGAAGTCAGAGCATTCTGAGTATTGCAGATACGCCATCATGTGAGTGCACCTACATACGTTTTATCATTCTGTGTCTGTGGTGACTTACTGAGGGGAGGGAGGTGGTGTGGCAGCACCCTGGCCCCTCAGGAGCGTTTCCCGTGGCGGGAGCCTCGACCATCCGTCGCCACGAGGGACGTGCTGCTGCGACCTCAGTATGGCAGAACGTGGGAAGGTTCACAGAAGGCTTAAAAACTTGTAAAATGCTGTGAATTGAGGCCTGCTGCTACTCCTGTGCCATGCCACTTGATGTCTTGGTTAACTTTGTTTTCAAACTTCTTACAGGTGCTCCTTTTTTTTCCACCAAATAAAAGATTAATAATAGCCAACAGCTGGGCTTGGACTTAAAAGGGAAAATAGGAGATTGGTTTATAAGCTTGTACAACTTGCAAACAAAACGTCTGAACTGGATCTCATGCTGTTGGAGAGAAGGTGAATCTTTCAAAAAACTTTTAACATTCTGAGATAAGGAAATACCTAATTCAGAGGATCTTGATAACTGTAGGGGGTTTGTTCTGTATGCCAAACACAAAATGTTAAAAATACACATTTTAGCCATATCTTTGCAAACTGAATCTCAATAATGCCATTCCTTTGTAAGGAAAAGATTTAACAGCTCTTCTGGTTAATTGGCATCAGCAGAGGGGGAGTCAGCTGCTGAATTAAATTCGTGTGGTCTCTAATATTGGACAGTTTGGTCATTTAAGGCTGACAGGAATCATCACAGAACTGCTGGTGATTTGGGTTGGGAACTTCCACCTGCTGGTTGAGACTGTCCACTGTTCCAGAACTGGAATGCCCCGTCACACTTTTTTTTCCCTTTTGTCTTTAAATTTTTGAGATAGCACCACGCTTCTGGCGAACACCTGACTCCAGCTCTGTCGCCTGGGGCGCTCTGTGTAGTGCAGCATCTGAGCTGCCCTGCAAAGTTAACGGTGTTTTGTTGTTTACTGGAGCTTTTACTCTACAGTTTGCACCTTAGCACAGCGCAGACGTTCTGCAGACCGTGGCCAAACGGTGCAATGGCTGGTAACAACCATTTTCTAAATACATGGTGCACGCATTAGTTATTGTAGCTTTCAGATTATTAGTCTAGACTTGTCCTGTCAGTAGACTGTTGAAGGCATTTGCAGCTCAGGAAGGATAATAATGTTAAAGGCAATTTTGTGGGCAAATTACCTTCTTTGGTCACTATCATGGTCTTAGAGAATCTGTAAAAAAGGAGTAATAGGGCTGGAATGTTTAATTTTGGCCTTTCTTCTAAGAAACTTCTTGTATCTTAATTTCAGGATAGAATGGGAAAGACACAATTACTAGACGTAATTAACAATGAGCATAAAATCTGTATATATTGAAACTTTACAGAAATATGTGGGTGGGGTGGGGGAGGAGGGTGGGAGGGGGGATGTCCAACGCTGGTACGAAGTAGTCACTTTAACATTGAAACCTCTGCCTCATTGAATTCAGGGTTTAATGTACTTGAAGCTCTGCGGTTCCTTTTACAGCTTTTTTTATTTATACATAACTTTTTTTGTATACTACATTGAAAATGTCTTTTGACTTCCCTGAAGTTAGTTTCTGCTCCCAGTGTACAGTGAATCTATGGCAAATGGGAGAGTTTTTCAAAGCAGCTGTCTCAGACTTGTGTGTTTTCAAGAAGTGTGTTGCATGAGAGACGGCAGCCTTGGAGTAATGCTGTCCGTGTGCTTTCAGTTCTCCATCGACTTTCTCTTACCATTTATCTTTGTGTAGCAAAAACATTTGCACTTATGATACACTCCTACACTTTGGATGTATTCACAATGTTGTTCTGAGATAAAAAAAAAAAAGGATAAAAAAGGCAAAAAAAAAAAAAAAAAAAAAAGA